CAAAGAAGACAGAACCATCTTATCAGAAGGCTATACAGATGATTTTAAAGCTGTAAGTAAAGACTTCATTGACTTACTCTTAAGGACGGCATTAGAAGGTTTGTGTTCAATTTTTATTTGGTAACCCAGTGCATTAGTATGGTTTGTTTGTTTAATTTATAGGTGATATCCTACATCTGACCACAAAAGCAAATGCTTGCTTTCATTGAATGTGACACGTTTAATTAGGTTAATTTTCTTCAATTTATTGGAGCTAAGTAATTATATTGAGGTTTTGAGTTAGAAAACCATTTAAATGATGTAATTTTCGCATTGGCATAAGGTTTTGGATATAAACTACAAAACTGAATTTGAATTATAAAATTTTATGAGAAAACAATAATATTTGAAATGTTATGTAACGGTCAGCCTCTACAATTTGGGATATATGTATAATACCAAAGGGCAGCAACAAGCATGAATGGGAATAGACTTGTCAGCTAGGGAAATGCAAAATCTATTCTCACAAATTCAGAAAGATGAAATATTGAACCTGTTGGAAAACAATATATTTAGAAAGCTTAAAGCAGAAAACCTTCAAAATATGTTACTCTACAATTAATAATAATGCTACACAATTAATCTAGAATATCTTACTCAACAGTTAAAAGGAACGCAAGAATACCTGAATGTGTTAGAATATCTGAATTATTCAAGTAAAATTATAATTTACAAAACCAAACAAAATATAATAACAGGTCTGGAGTAACTATATACCACCTGACAGCTTAATAGCTAATTTGAGTGTATCAGATATGTTTATAACCTCATTGAAATCTAGTTAAAATATACGTTCTATTAATAAGTATGAAATGTTCTTTTGTAAAGTTCTTCAAAAGGAGCAATTTTATGGTAACTGATCTGTCCTTAGGAAAGTAACATATCGCAATAAAATTCTATATACAAGTAACTGTAGATTATAGCTACAAGAAACACTGGCTGAATTTAGGAAAACCAAATACAAAACCCACATTGCTAATTTAAGAATAATTGTGGAGTAATGTATTGAATAACAGAGTTTATTAATTTAAAAACTCAAAAGGTCTCAAAATGTCTCCAAAGGAAAAAAAATAATGGTGAAATCTATTGTCCCGAGGCTACGGTCTCCACATCACCGAGGGGTTATAGATTTCACCGTTTCCCGTAACTAGAGCAGATACGGTATTTGTTTTATACCTCATACATAGTTTCTACGAGGCCTAAAAATGTAATGAAAGAGTATCACCAAGTAGGCCTAGGCTTACTTCCTAGGTCTAGGTGATCAAAGGGTCAATATCTCTCAGCGTCCGTAGAGAGGTCAATCTTGAGTCTTGAGTTAAATAATCCTTAAAAAGCATCTGCTTGTCCTAGGAGGTTTCGTGCTGTGGAGTGTGCTGTTTGGTGCTCGAAAAACCAGTCAGTGTAAGTTAATTTACAAGTGATTTAAGAGTGCAAGTAAAATTGGAAAATATTTCGATCGCTAAAACTGTTTGTGGGATGCTGTAAGAAGCAACTCCCTCAGTACTGGCAATGCCAATGTTTGAAATTGGGTAAGTGTTGGTGCTGTAACTACTTGTATTGGTAACCTGTTCCACGAAGATATTGTGCGCACAAAGAAGGAATATCTATAGTTGTCGACTCTTGTTTGTATGTTCTGATAGGCCAGGATGTTTGATGTTCTACTTTGACGAACAGCTGGAATAACGCAAGATGGGAATGGAATATTTAAAAGTTTGTTGTGAATTTTATAATACATTGAGCATTGATTTAAATGTCTCCTTGTAGCTAAAGAATCCCACTTAAGCTGCTCGAGCATCTGGGTAACACTTGATGTTCGACTGTAGTTAAAAACAAATCTCGCCGCTTGCCGTTGCACAGCCTCAAATGCATTTATCTGGGCTTTAGTATGTGGGTTCCAGGCTGCCGAGGAGTATTCTAACTCGTCCTCTTTATCGTAGCTGCGTATGTGTTGCATAGCAACCACGTTAAAATGGGCCTAGTATAGAGATTACATCGCGACAGGGCAAAAAAGCACTATCATGCCGTGATAGTACTTTTTTCTAAATAAATTATGAACGAATTATGAATGCTGTTTTATTATTATAAATAATTACAAAACCGAATTATTAAAGGAAATATAGGCCGTTTTTCCGCAGCACATATATTATCTGATAAATTGCCGGAAAGCGGCCATTTTGTTACTTTTTGCTGCGGAAACGGAGCATAAATTTTCCGATAAATTTCTGTATGGTAATCAGATAATATATCGGAAAAAGCTCCGTATGCAAATATAAATAACCTTTGACCGATGTCAAATCACGGTCATGCAAAGACTTCTTTTGGGTAGTTTTCTATAGTTTCTAAGGCAACTAGTACTTATGCCTAGTAACACTTCATATAATACAAAGTTAGTAAATTTTCGCTTATTAACTATTTTAAAAATAGGCTCCCAGCGGGAGCGTGTGTCTACTGCCTTATACAGGAGTTTTTGTTTTTTAAATTTTATCTTATGTTCTTCAATGTGCAGATGTGTGTATTATTGTAGTGTATCTGGATTTTTCATGAAAATTTTCTTTCATAACAATATTCTGTATAGGTCTACTACTATATTACACTAAAAACACTTTAAAAATGAGTAACTCTTGGAGTTACCACGATATGTCGTTGATCACAAAGAGTACTACCATGTTCTAGAGGGCGTCCTTCAAATGACGGTAAAGACGTTCGTGGCGAACGCGTGCTGCGTCTCTCTAACGGTGTTCGGGTTTTCAACGCAATTTTGTTCGAGTTCCGAACGCTATTCGATTGTCAATAGAGCGCCCCCTCCTGGTAGTATCCATCATGCCTAAACCAGATTTACCCATTTTCGCCATCTTTAATTGCTACATCATTACATAGTGTCTACGCCTCCGTTGGGGGCAGTAGACACAAAAATCCTGAAAAGGCTGCTTCGATGTCGACGATGCCACCTATAGCCTATTGTACCATAAAGCACACCAAAGCTAGTATTCTTGTTCGTCTCCTTCTCAATCCCATATTATAGAAGTACAATGGATCCCAGGGCGAAATACTGTACCGTACGATTTCGTTCTTGGCCTAGGCCTAGACCTATCCGCCTCGCGCACAAGCAAGGTCACTTGCAGGTCAACAACACGGATGTGGTATTAAACACATTGCATTGGTGTCTATAATATTGGATGATGAGATAACATTTTGGAGGGAAATTTAAGATAATTTATCGGAGAAATTGTAAGTGCTGCGAAAACACGGCCATATAGAAAAGACATATTTTTAGTACAAGCAGTATATTCACAATATAGTATTTGTTTTTCTGTATTAGACTGGCGACTGCATTCGTACAGAATGTTATTGTATACTCGACAACAAATTTTGTTACAAATTGAGGTTAGATGTAACACTAACCCTAGATGAAAGTGTTAAAGAACCGGTTGCTGTCATAACCATAAAAAATAATGCATTACTGCCGAAATCTTTGGAAATTGAGGTATGTCTGACAGGTTGCATAATGGTATTTTGTTATTTAATTATAGGCCTGCAGTCTATGTTGATCACTAATGGGCATCAATAACATACAATATTTTAATATTCTACTTTGTAAATAAATAAATACTACTACTGCTGATACTGCTGCTACTAACGCTGGTACTGCTGCTTCCCCACTTTTGCATCGCGCGCGGGCGTATTACCCTATAATCACATTTTTTCGTTAGTAACAATTGGCAACGACATGCATCTATACGCTTCCAGCAGAGCAGTTGTGCAATAAAGCGTTTGATTTTAACCAATTAAATATCTTTATAATGAACAGTGTTCCCCTGTTTTTTTCGAACTTTTGGTATGTTACTATTTGTATATTTCAGGAACGGATTCCGTAAAATATTTATGTTAAAATTACTTCTGTGTTCATTATAATTTTGTCTAGATATTGATTAGTTCGACTATAAAGCGTAAAACTGAAAAATACTCAGATTTTGGATTGATTTTTCGAATAGTTAACCCTCGTTAACCCTAAAATGACTTAGTTTATTATAATCCTCAATCATTTATTAATTAATATCTGTTAACATTAGAATTAGCGAATTTTGGCCAATTTATGGAAATTGAAGTTGAAATATACTATACTTTTAAAGGTCATGTAAATGTTCTATTAAATTCGAAACTTTTTTTGGTGGAAAATATTAATATGTTTGATATTTTATGAGAGATAAATGTATCAGCTTCAAAATGGAAACGATTGCGCAGCCATAGTGATTGACTGTATGTAGTGCGCATCGAGAAAAGAAGGTGCTCTCCATTTCGCCATGTTCAATTTTTTGGTAAACAATGCCTGCTGAAAATTTAATGGCGGGGAACACATGGGACTTCAAAGGTATCGCGCAAACGTTCTTCACGCGCTGCGGCAGCTTTGATCTTGGTTCATTTGCATAGCGCTGCGTGCGCGTAGCTTTTTCGAGTGATCTCCTTCTCAATAATACCTCCATGGTACTACTGTCACTACTACCACCACTACAATCACTACCATCACCACTACCTCCACTGTCACTCAAAAGTTTGGAGATAACACGGGAAATGATAATCCAGCCGACACCAATGTAAGATATCGATTAAACATTGTAATTAATTTGTTTTATGACTTTAACAAATGTTATTATTTTTATTAATTATATGCATATATGGCTTTTACTTTAGGTACCTGACGCAAACGGTTTGAGCATTGTACACATAATATGCATTGCTGGAGGTGGTGCTGTAGTGTTTGTGATCTTCCTTGTTGTGGGCCTAGTGTTGTTAAAGAAAACTACTAAGCGACACAGTGTAAGTCTATGGTGTTTTACACATATCTTACCAGATTATATTCCTTACTTGCAATTAGGCTAAAGATATATTATTCAATATATGCTGCACTTGACAGGGGCGGATTTAGTGGGGCGGCCCGGCCCCCCCACATTTTGGGAGATAAAAAAAAAGAAAAAAAAAAGAAAAAAAGAGAGAAAAAATGTTTTGTTCGGGCGTCTAGAACACAACAATTTCGCGGGGGCATGCCTCCAGACCCCCCTAGGACAGTGTTGTCTCGATCGGCCCAACTTCCCCCCCCCCCCTTTTTGATATTTCTGGATCCGCCCCTGCTTGAAGAGATAACTCTAAATCGCCTTGCGGTAAATGCTTATTGCTGCAAATCACCAGACGAGCAGCGACACTAATTTCGACGTACGCCAGTAAAAATCTCGATTTTTTCAAGGACTCGAGATGAATTTTTTGGAGAGCGTTGGATCGTTTTCGGTTTTCAGCCCGAAAGCGCGATAAAATTCGAGTGCTTTTCGGAGCCTTTTCGAGATCCACATGGTCCCAGCAGCGTCAGTCATTGTTGTCAGTTTAGAGCTTGACGGTGTCGGATGTGTTCGTTTAGAGTTAGAATGGAATCGGTAAGTATTCCATTTTCAAACATTTATTATGTCAAGTCTTAGAAGTGTTAAGGTTATGATAATTTTAGTTATGTTTAGATCAGTATGATTGTGTCCTGAACGTCTTTCAATTTGAGGCTAGGCCTAGGTGTAAACTAATATAAGGTATTCCATTAGCTTCTCTACCTAGCAGAAATTATTTTTACCATGAAATGATTTTTATCGAATAAAATAATAGTAATCGGTAATTATATTGATTATATATGTTAGTAAAACAGCTTTTATGTGTGAATTTGGTAACAAATATTGCGCTTCAATCTTATATGTTAATTTACACTATCATGTACTTTCGTTTGCAGATTGTTGGTTGCACATGTATTAGTTTGTCAGTTTCACATGTGTCCTGTGAAATTGATTTGGTAAGTACTGTATTTTCAAACATTGCCTAATTAATGCTAGAAGTGTTGATTATGGTCATCATATTAGTGATCTTTCTATAGTGTGATTGTGTCCTGTCTATGAGTATTTGAGGATAGCTATGGTTGGGCTTATAATTAATTAGGCTGAAGGCTAGTCTCTTCTAATTGAGGCTAGGCCTAACCTAATATTTGGAGGTAGGTGTATTGATATCCAAATATCTTACTAATAAATCAACATCTAATAAAATATCTCATAAAATAATAGTAATCGAAATTATATTGAATATATATGTTAGTAAAAAGCTTTTATGTATGAATTTGGTAACAAATATTGTGCTTCAATCTTATGTTAATTTACACATGCACCTTTGTTTGCTTTATGTTTGGCTAGTCTGATGTAGAGTTCTTCCAGTTTCTCCCAATTATACGCCATCGCAAAGGAAAAGTAACAACATGAATTGAGATAAGAAACCCTCAAGTTATCACATATTTACGATGACCTTCTTAACCAACCCAGGGAACAGAGGACCCCGCGGAAAAGACCTCAAATACCAACAAAGGGTGCACGTCATCGGATGACATCGGCCGATGACGAAATGATCTGAAATTAGGTCATTTACCTGATGAAGATACTATATCGAAACCGGTTTAAATACTGTAGTATTTAAACAAGTTTAAACATTAAAAAGCATATTGTTGATAAAGAATTTATTTTATACTGAAAAACATATTGTGGATAAAGCATTCATTTAAAAAATGAAAAGCATATTGTAGATAAAGCATTATTTTATTTAAAGAGTTTAATACTGAGAAGCACGATATGCATAAACCATATTTTTTTTAAACAGATTTAATTTATGTGAGGCATGTTCTTCATTTAGCCACTTTTTTAAACAGTTTTAAATATTGATAAAATATTTTAAAATGTTATATATATTTTTTGTTAAAACAGATTTAAATACTGTGAAGGCTATTGTGGATAACACTTTTTTTTTTACATATTTAAATACTGTGAAGCCTATTGTGGTTAACAATAAAACAAGATCGACTACTAACATGTTTATTACTATATTATGTTGTTTTGTAGCATTGTAAACAAAATTTTTGAAACCCATTCTTATAAGTCACCCAATCATACATTTCTACCAACCTTTAATACTAAAACTAAAAATCAGTACACCCTTTTATGTACGGAAGTATCTATTAGTATTTACATGAATTACATACTCGCAGCATTTTAATTTCTATTAGAAACTGCTATTAAATACAATATAAATATGTGTATATTCCGAATAGTGTAAAACATTAAGTATAAAAATAATCAAACTGTCCAAAGACCTATGTAACAAAGATGTGCATTTTAAGATAAGACCTTATTCTAAATATTTTGAATATTAATAAACTTGTAATGTTAACGTCGGCAGAGGTGAGTCCTTTGGCGCTATAGTTCCCCACTTCACCCTCGGTGTACCAGGGAGTTGTTAAATAACAACTCTCTGGTATTACCTCTACAGATATAGTTCGAGCCTCACTGACGTCGAGTTAATTTCCATGTTCATTCCTTTACTTGTTGATTTCCTTTATTATGATTTTACTTTTTTCATGTATTATTTTACTTTATCATTTTTAACGATTTTCTATATAATTCAAAATCTCAACATCAATTCTCATTTTGACAATGAGGAAAAGCATTATGTTCATTTTTACAAATAGACATAGTAAATCGAGATATCATGATTATTACATTATTACTATTATAATTATTTTGTATTTCTGCTATTTCAGCCTCGAGTGTTTGAGATAACACTGAACATAATGTAAGACATCGAATTAACTACATGATTATTTAATTTTATGTAATTAACAAGTGGTTTCGATATAATTCAAAACCTCACTTGATACGAGATGTGTTTGATTTTTTAGGAGGTGGAATCTAATCATGTATACGTGCCCTATTTGTCAACAATGAAGGAAGACGTGTATGCCGTACCATTTGCACAAGGTATTTAGTCATTCAAGGAGGTTATGTATTCATTGTTTATCTGTCTGACTGTTTGCAGGATTAAGCAAAAAACTAATGAATTGATCATTATGTACAGTAGATATATATTAGGATAGATTCAATTTTTGGGTGGAAATACCCATGAATAAATCTCAGAGATATTTAAAAATATCTAAAACTTACCCCATTTACATAATAAGAAATAATGGTATCGCCATAAACGCCATGCTTGTTGTATTCAGTTATCAAAGCACAAAGTTGAGGTATGCATTCTATGGAGTCACTGCACTGCAGTTTAATGTTTGATTAGCATAATTAAATCAAATATAGTTTTTTAAATTTCTATGCCAAACAACTGAAGTGGAACAATAAAATATAATATTTGTTATTGATACGTGTACAATTAGGTTAGTTTTTAACTTTAAAAATAAAAATAAGAACAAGAACATATTTTCTATGACAATAATAATGACACAAAAAACACCCTTTCCTATCTTCCGTTATTGACACTGGAATGGGTAGGGTGATCTTAAAATACAGTAATCTTAATCTGAAAATGATTAAAAAAAAAATCTTAAAATTTTGAAATTAATTTTCTCATTTTGTAGTAATATACAGATTATTAATTTAAGACAGACACTATTGAATTTTAAAAATGTGTACCTTGATTTGTATTCTGGATAATGAAAAAGTAATTAAAACACTTCCAGTGACACTTAAAGAATTTCTATCATTTTATTCTTGGTTTTTAAAAAGCCTTTCGATATTTGAGTTGAATATTTAAAGGTTTCTTCTGTTTGTCCACCGACAGAATACGTGTATCAATCTATTTATTTCGCTTGTAAAATTTTAAATTGTTAACTTGGTGTTAACAATTCAAAAAACAAAACTTTAGGCCTACGTATAAGATACAAGGTACATCGGACACTTTCTATCGATATTGTTTAATGACAATTTGTATAATAATAGAAAACAATACAGTAAATGAGATGCACCCGGACGATTTACACAAATATAACGTAATCCTGGAAGGAAACCATTCCCGGGTGTGTAGAGGTAAAGTTCCCAGCTTTGGTCTAACAAACGTCGCTATCAAGACTCTAAAAGGTAAGATGCTTGTCCTTCAATTCCATATTTCAGGTTTTGAATTCTATAACTAGGCCTAAATATCAATGTGAAGTCCAATGCAAGCCCCATAATAAAATGATTATTAATAAAGCATAACTGGACCTTGTGGCTGAATTTGAGTTATAATAACAGTGACCAGGGACAACATAAAAATACAAGAAACTATATCAGAAATTTAGATGAGGTCTGTACTTAATCTAAAATTAGATTTCATAAATTATTTGACATACCTAATGATTCTTTTTGTTTAAAGTCAACTTTTGTTTTTTTAACAAGATATTTGTAAGATGTCTAAAATTCTAAATTAATTTAAAAAAAAATGTCCTTTAGGATTTGATAGGGCTACATTACAGATAAAATAAATTCTAGGACTTATGTTATACCTAGGTGGCAAAAGACTGGGTGGCAAACGGACCGGAACCTGTTCGCAATCGTTGTTGTTAATATGTTTCTTTTGACTTTTCTTTTGGTAATGTGGTTTTTTTTCTTTTATTGTTAATTGTGGCACAATTAATTATTACATCACATTATGTTCAAACGATATTCCAAATTTATATACGTAGAGGATCATAATGTCAAGGAAAAGGAAAGAATGTTGCACGAAATAAAGATGATGAGGCTGTTGCCATGGCATGAAAACATTATCCGATTACTTGGCTTTACAAGCATCAGGGGTATGTATAGATATTGAACGATTCTTGTTGGTTGTTTTTTATCTTTTACCTTCACCTACAAATCTGGTAGCAAAATTGCTAAAGAGAAACCAAAACGTACATAATAAATGCTGTATAATGATGAATCAACTATAATCACGATAAGCGCGTTTCTACATTCCCAGGTGTCAAAGAGTAGGCCTACGGATTTTTGTTTTTGTTTTTAACAAGACTTTAGTGATGTATATCCATCGTTAGTTAATGGAACATGTCTGCTCTCATTAAGACATTCTGTAGGGTTGTCTAACAAGGTGTTTGAAAAGTCTACTGATGTCAACAATCGATTCAAACGTGTTTGGATACTCAACCTGAAACAATTGTATAGGCATATAGTTACTTAGCCTAAACTAGGTCACACTCTATGTCTAGATTTTAAGCCATGTGACGGTGGTAATTTTAGAATACTTAGCTGAAACTGTTGTGGGTCTCATTGACTCGTGTCAAAGAACTTGTTTTCGCGATGAATATGTTTGTATTAAAAAAACATAAGCACGTAGGCATATGCAATTTGTTTTGATAGTATTCCATCTATATATAATATATATATATATATATATATATATATGTGTGTATGTATGTATGTATGTATGTATGTATGTATGTATGTATGTATGTATGTATGTGTGTATGTGTGTATGTATGTATGTATGTATGTGTGTGTATGTATGTATGTATGTATGTATGTATGTATGTGTGTATGTATATATGCTGTCTCTTATACACATCTAGATGTGTATAAGAGACAGATGTACGGAAGTATCTATTAGTCAAAATACTATAAACAAAAATCAAATAAGAATTTCATCTGGTTCTGTATATATTATAGGTAAAAAATGACGCTGAGGTAGCATTTACCATTATCTCTTTGGTTCTAATAAAATCACAATCTAGCTATAATATAAACAACAATGCTGTGAGAAACGATGGCTGGGTCTGTGGGATCAACATTTATTTGTATGATTGAATGAATCTAGGATTATATCTTTACTATGTTATGTTGCATTTCGCAATACTATAAGATCGAAATAACAGTATTGGAATCGCTATTGGCAAACATGTTTATCCATGACCATGGTACTTTAATGTTTTCTGTTAGACTCAACTAGCCGTACGCTGGACGGCAGTAGAGGGACTGAGTACCAATAAGCGATTATTTTCCATGAAATCCGACGTTTGGTCTTTTGGAGTGCTGATGTGGGAGATATTAACTTTAGGTAAATTACACAGATGTTATGCATTTTATTATACACTTAAGTTATTTTTTCTGAATGAAATTGACAATGAAATTCAAATACATAATCTGTCTCAGTGAATATGAAATATCTTTTAATAATAACTAAGCAATTTATTATCAATGTTGTTAATAATAGCAGTTATAATTAATTATTATAATAATATTTAAGATATATAACTATTTGAATAATAATACTGTAAAATATAGGCCTATGCCTAGTTACATGTATATATGATATTATAATACACATATTCGTCATCGATATTTCCACATGATATTAGTTACCGTAGACAACGCATTAATAACATTAAAAGGAGCAAAAATGAGAGTGAGACTTGCATCAAATCTACTCTATCGAACTTTTAACTATACGAACATAATAAGATACTGTATCTACCTGTACATAAGTATCAAAATACTAGTCTTTATGTGATATTTTATATACGTTAAGATCATCAAAAATGAAAATCTATAAATAAATCTTCGCTACTGACTTTCTTCCATCACGGAACATGCTTCTTCTGAATAATTTCATAAGTGATAAATAAACTTTTTTCATTATAGAGAAAATTAAAAATTATATTTATTTATAAAACATTCAGGAGGTTCATTTCAACTTTGGCAGCTACCATCCAGGACCAAATCAAAAGGAATAAAAAAAATCCGCCTCGAATAAAAGCCATCAATTCCGCTGTAACTAGAGAGGGCGTAATTAAAAATTTAAACAAAATTCCCAATCTTAAATACAAAAATAATATTCAAGGATAAAAGCACACAATAAAATTTGGAAGGGCAAGCTTATTTTCATTGTAGTAAATCGTACATATATATTACTTATATACCGGTATTTAATATTACATGTTTTTCTCACACAGGATCAAAACCATATGGAAAAATGTCGATTAACACAGTTGTCGAGAAAGTAAGCGCAGGCCTGCGGCTGAAAAAACCTGAAAACATCTCCAACGAATTGCAAGTGTGGTGATTTATTTTCTAGGTTTAATGTAAATGTTCCAGTAGTAAGCATACATGATTAGGAGGCTTCAGTGTAACGGTTACTGGAGACCATTTACTTGTTCGAGAGCGGCGCTTATTATAATTTATTTTTGTGAAAATATAATAATAATAATAATAATAATAATAATAATAATAATAATAATAATATTAATAGTTTGATATTGCTTAAGTGCATTTATTGAAAACCTCAATGTACTTAACATTAGAAATAAAAAATCCAGTTATGCAAAATATAAATTAAAAAGAAAAAAAAATGGAAAAACATAAAAATGGTACCATGGCAGGCCCGTTGCTTGAGGGTTAAGGGGGACGATCCGCCCAAAAACTGGAGAAGGTCCGCATTTAAAAACGGGAAATTGATATTCGTAGATATATTTCCAATGTTCTTCAGAGTATCTGAGATCATACAAGCTAGAAGAATTTCAAGTCGGCATTTCTTCCAGATAACAATAATTGTTACATTATTGTATAATAGTTTCCAAATGGTCCACTTTCCACTGAAACTAACCTCCCACAAATCAAGTCACGCTACGGACTTGAATGTCAAATACTATATAGATAGTAGGACCGATTATTTAATCCTCGATAAATCGGTTGTTTAACGTTCTACGTCCTACTGTCGTCGTGCAATTGGAAACTCCCTAATATTATAGGACAGCGTTACGTACTTAATAGGGAAAAAATATTTTTGGTGTGTTTAAGTGCGGAGTATTCAAGATTCAGTTATTGGACCCTTTACGGTAAAATACGGTAAACTACATAGTTTTGTGATTGACCTCTCAACCAGATAGTCAGTATCATCAACAGATTTATTCCTTATGTATAATTTGATACAGTGCAAGTGAGCGCAATGTTAATAATTGTGATGATGATTATTAAGATAATAATGACAATGAAGAATCGAGGATTGTGACTATCATGATAATGATGTTGAAAATGTTATTCTATAGTACAATGATGATAATGATAATAATGATAGATGAGAAGAGGATGATATATTTATAATGTAACAAAATGATAATAATTACTACATATCATAATGATTAATGATGAACATTTTACCTTACATTTTAATTTCAGATACTCTGTTATGAATGCATGTTGGCACACTACACCTGAGAGCAGACCGTCATTTGAAAATCTAGCCAGCGACCTCGACAGTGTCATAAGCAGTAATGAACAAAGCGTTGACACCTCCTATGAAGGAGGAGAGTATTTTGCCCTAGATGTGGTGCGAAGATAATCAGATCAGAGTAAAATTATTTGAGTGGAGTTTTGTATAGATCAAGCCGGGCACTCACTGTGTCGTACAACCGTCGCACGACGAATACAACTCCGCTTCTTCCTGTGAGCGCTAGACGACGCGACGCCGTCTGCTGATTGTCGGTGGTCGTCTGAACGGATCGTCATTAAAAACGATCAGTTACGCGTACGTCTTCGCGTTGATTTCTTCATAGAATCGCGTCGGCCGACGACCGTCGGGCGCAGTGAGTGCCTGGTTTTAGTGATTAAAATGCTTGTCCTCTAATTCCAGAGTCCTGGGTTCAATTCCTATGATAGCAGAAGGACTTTTTCTCTTGACCAAAACTACTTTTTGATGCGAAGAAATAAATTATATTACAAATTGTCTTTTCGGAAATTATAGATGAATAAAGTTATAGATCTAAATATTCACAACATTAACAGAAAACATTAAAGGCTATATACAGTAAAATAACAATTAAAAAAAAAAAAAAAAAAAAAAAACTTTTCCAATATATCTGTTTAGTACTGTTGCTATACTATAATGAGTTACAAGTGAAATGCATAGAGTAAGGTAAAAATGCGTTGAAATATAATAAGGTAAGTAACAAAATATAACAATTGTGATAGTACTCACTGATATTAATTGCTCATGATGATGACATACTTTTGCTCGTTATATTTAAGATATGTATTTGTATGCTTTAGTTTACGCGTACGATCAAAATAATTAAAAAGCTACAATCTATGATAAATATTGCGTTATAAATGCATTTCATACTACACAAATACATTGTGTAAATGATTAGCGCCTTCAATAACCATTATGTATTTGTTACAGTAAATCAGGAAGATATTTGTATAATATTTACTTTACATGGACTGCTAAATAAATCAAATGATACACACTTACGGTAACGGTGTGGTATATTTAATGTAAAATTATGTATCATGATAACGACTTGAGCTTATGTAAATCACATCTTCAACTTACATTAGTGAACCTGAGGTAAGCTTGCGAGAGGCTCTGGTTGCAGCCGAAAGTAGGCCTATAGTAAAGAAACATATCAAATCTTAGTTTGTTGCGTAGCACTTAACTGTGAACATATAAATGTACAGTAATATATAAAATAGCTGAATAATAAAATCAGACAGAATTATTATACTTATGAAGTTATACACATTCAAAATGATAATACCAATCCTATGTTTGATGTTTATATTCAAAATTCACAATAATTAGCCTAGTTTCACTAACATATTACTGAAACCCCAAAAAGTTAAAAATGTACCCTATACTCGAGTGGCATCATTTTAGTGAAGGTGCGGGACTAAGTTTGCGATGCCAGAGCGTTTCATGCATTTTGCGTATGTAGATTAAACATTTGTTCGATGTATTTGAATAAAAGTATTTGAAATGATTTGTATTTTTCATGTTATAAAATCAGTTACATTATTAGTCAGTCGCTATTGAGAATCATGGCTCCAAATGACAGGGTGATCACACTGGCCATATTTATCATTTTACTATTAAAATATTTTGTCTTTGTTTAATAATTGTTCTGAGTATTTTTACTGTATTGTAAAGAAATGTTTATCTTTGTTATATGAAACTCATCATGTATTAATTCCCATTAAGTTAAATGAATTGGGGATAAAAATATACTTATTACCGGTTTAATGTATATATTATAGAAGGGATCTGAGTGTAGGGTGAGAATGTCCACTAGGCCTAAGAATTGAAGCAACCTTTCGTGAAAGTACAAAGCGACCAAAGGAAGAGCATTTTGTTATTTTGATCGTGTAAATAATGTACGAGCTTAATGTATTAAAATGGTATTCGCTGAGAGAAAGAGCAAATGAAGGGCCCCAAGAGACTAGACAGGTGGTTACAAAAACCACATATAATATATCTTGGTTTTTTATAATTTGTTGAGCTCTACAGTCTCCTTTAGTTGATTGGCCAATATTCATGTTAGAATCCAACAAAAACTTGCGTTACTTTTATGACCATTTGTGACAAAACAGGCTAGTGTTACTAAGAAGGACGACATTGGATTTTTAGAAACGAGGTATTTGTCGGTATCCTGTCTGAATTTAAACACATATAATTGTTCACAATTGTCTTATTACTAAAGTTCCGGCTTGAGTCCACTAAATTTCTAGGCATACACGAAATACACAAAATATAGACTATATAACAATTTATAATTATATTTCAGTACAGCAATTACTTAAATACAAAAATAAATAATTTATATAAAAATATAGCCTATTTCACAATTTATAATAATATTTCAATACAGCATAAATGATGGAATAAATAGATTTAGAAAAAAAATGAATCAGTGAATGAAATACAAAATAAAGAATTATAATACAGAAATATATAACCATTAAAAACAACATAAAACGATCCATTTAGCAATGCACAAATAAGAATAGGATGTATACGAAAAAAAGCAAACACACCTAGAAAATAGCTATGAAAATGTAGAATAAAAATTGTTAAAAATGTGTTGAATGAGGTGTATTTTAAAGTTAGACTATACACTGTCGTTGATGACGTTAAGTCTAGTATGTGCAATATTGAGTATGGTGTGCCCCAATGTTCCATTATTGGACCTCTGTTATTCATACCTGTCTCTTATACACATCTAGATGTGTATAAGAGACAGTGAACCTTATAGGGGACCTAATTACTGAAATGTCTAAAATAAATGAATGATTTAAATGCAACAAAATGTCTTTGAACATAAGCAAGACTAATTATGATCTTTCGTAGTAAGAAACCTAATGTCGACACAGACCCTATTACAATATTTATTGATGGTAAAGAAGTTGACAGAGCAAACGTCACAAAATGTATTGGGATAATCATAGACGAACACGTAACTTCTAAAGAACATATCAGTTTTATCTCAAAAAAATCTATGTACATCGGAATACTATATAAGGCAAGACATTTCTTTCCTTTTCATGCTTTTTACTATCTATAGATCTCTTGTTGAACCAATTTTTAACTATGGCATTATAATATGGCTGCATGTACGAATCATATATCTTGGTGAAATTAAACGTCTTCAAAAAAGCAATTCGAGCTATCACCTTAAAAAATATAGGGAGCGTGTATCGTCCGTTTTCCGTAGACATGGGCTCCTAAAGATCCATGATATCATCGCATATCAAATTGGTGTTGCTATAATTCGTCACAAAAGATCTTAATATTAGATTAGTGTCTATATTAGGAAATGAAACCCATCAACACCATTATAACACAAGGGGTAAAGCTGAACTTAAGACGAAAAAGAGAAAACTTAAATATACTATAGTCTTAATGCTATCTATATTGCACCTGAAATAGGGAATAGACATTGACAAAAATCTCAAACAGCCAATGTCATTATCCATATTTAGAAAGAATTTAAAAAACACACTACTGATCAAATACTAGAGTACTTTACTTGTCTTTTTATACCGTTGTATTCTATCATGTTTTTATTGGCCTGACTTTTATAAATTACTTTTATCAATTTAAAAAAAAAGTTCTTAGCAATTGACTATTCTTTTTATTTCTATTTTTAAATTTGTTTTAATACTTATTTATGCTTTCATCAATTTTATTTAATTTTTCATTATCGTTCTTTACGACTTTTTTCAATTTTATCTTTTTATTCCTGCAACTATTTTTCATAATTTTATAGTTGTATAATTTATTTTATGAATTTTATCATACATTTTATGAATTTTATCAAAACTTTAATATAATTACATAGTCTTACCTTTACTTTCTGAGTCTAAAAATTGTGAAATAGTGTCCGGGGTCATTGGTTTGTTGGCTTTTGAAATACTTCCTCTGATTTTTATGTTAGGTTAGGTTGTATTGTCTTGTGTAGTTGTGAATTTGTGTTTTTATATTATTTAAATGGTCTTCATTTTACAAGCTCATTTGAGTCTTTAATGTCCGTATCATTTTTTATCCTACTTTTAACTTTTAAATACATTTTATTTGTAAATTGTATTTATTTGATGATGAATAAAACAGAATTGAATTGAGTTGTATGTTGGTATGGTGTTGATGGTAAAAGGGAGTGTGTTCCAGAATGATGGAGCTTGGTAACTGAAAGATGATTTGAATATTTGAAGATTAGTATGAGGAATATATTATCAACGGTAATATATCTGGTGTGCATGTGCATTTGCTGTCTGATCTCAAGTTTTCGTGTCAGATAGTCTGGAGCCATTCCCCACCCCCAAAGTTTTAAAGTCAAGACACGCGAGTTGGTAAAGGTACCGTTGGTACTTTTATTGTTGGAAAAAACAGGGGTGGCGCCAGGATTTTCCAGACGGGAGGGGGGAGGGCGAGGTCACTGACGGGGACCGATACCCAGACGAGGGCTCAGATTTCCCTGACGAAAGGAAAGTGGGCGTGGTCTAGCTTAGATTAAAAAGTTACGAAAGTGGTCCAGGGGGCGAGGCCCCGGTAATTTTGACAATTTAGGGGTTTCAAAGGCTTATTTAATCGATTTTAGAGTACTAATATGTAGAAAATACATATATATTTTTTTCTCCCCGACGGATTGTGCTTTTTCTCCCCGACAGAGAGGCCAGCTCTCCCCGACGGGGTTGGGGTTGGGGGCTGCCGCTGGCACCACCCCTGGAAAACAATGGAGAGGGTGGTGTTTGAGGTGGTACATTGTGTATGGTTCGGTCTACACGATTTTGAAGTTTGGAAGATGAAAATGTGTTTTTTTATTCCTCAAAGAACAGTGTTGAGTGCGGTTAGTAACGTATGATGTGAAGCTAGCAAGTGCAATGTTGTTAATGCCACAGCAGGAGAGCCTACGAAGAAAAATTTGGTGATTGACCATGTCGAACGCATTTTTTAGATTGACGTATTCTACTCCTGTTATCTTGCCATCGTTAATATTATGCAGCCAAATGTCGGTAGTATTAGTAAGTGCGTTAAGAGTAGAAAAATTGGTTAGAAAACCAGATTGGTTATCTGTTAGTAGGTTGTGTTCGTTTAGTTAATTTATTAGTTGTATGTGAACTGCCTTTTTATGTTAAGAACATACGATATGAAAAACGGAAGTAGGGTTAGATAGTGGCCCAGACTTGTGAATAGGTGTAACTTTAGCATGTTTGAAAGTGGAAGGAGCGACCATTCTGAGAAGATGTGCATTCAGTACATCTAGATCAGGCGGCGTAAAGACCTTGAGGGATCGAAGATAAGAATAAACATAATCAGGATAAATATCATTAAAGCTAAAAGGAATATTATCTAAAAAAAGAACAGGGATCCATATCAGTAGGTGGAATCAAGGGCGAATGCAGAATTTTCAAACAGGGGGTACATTTTTGGTATAGATAGGCCTAAGTGAGTAGCGCTTTTTTCAATACATAACATTAATATGTATAAGGGGGGCTAATATACCCCAGTGGCTGCATAGGCGGATTCAAGGGGGTGGGGGAAACCGGAACGGGTTCCCCCAGAATTCGTCAAAATTTTAAAAAATGAAAATTCGACTAAAATTTTGAGTCTAGGAGTACCATTTCCGGCCATCTAGAGGTGTCGTAATCATAAATTTTCTTACCTTAGCCTAAACCATGGTAGGCCTGAGGTGGTATAGACCCCCGTTCCGCAACCTTTTTAGCCCACGACCCAAATTATATGTCAAGCACTCAGACGCGAACTATCGAACCAGAAGTAATAAATCATGTCCGTCATTTTTTATACGCGCGAGGGATAGCTGGTATTAGACGATACTATCACCCATAAAAGCAATTTAATACCCCTAAAAA